TTTTACTCTCGGGCATGCCTGAAGTTTTGAACCTAGAAAATGGACGCTATCGCGTGGATTATCTTGTTAAATCTCTGAAACCAATGGAACGAATCTCCCCTTTCGATTCAAGGGGGGGGGGGGGGGGGGGGTGATCTCGAACTGAATTCATGCAAAAGGTGAAGAAATTATTTGGAAGCCTTCACCTATTTTGCTTCCCCTTATGCACACGCTCCGACTGTTCAAGATATCCAATCGCGTGATTCTGGATCTTCCGTTCTGCAGTAGCAAAGAGAGAAAATCCCCGGAACCGTTGACAAAGAAGGCCGCCTGTCGTTCCTCTTAGGGCCCTCCGTGAGTCGCTCCTTGAGCCGAGCGAGCGACCTGACCAAGACGACCCACTCCGGCCTGAGCCAGGTCCAAGTGAACGAGCTGACCTTCTTCCCCCCGGGCCAGAAGCCCCCGCCCCACCCCGACATCCTCCCCGGCACCGCGGACGAGATCAGCCCCTACGCCATGTTCCCCATCCCCGTGAAGGACGATCCGAGGCGGAAGGCGAAGTGGAAGCAGACCGCCTCCCTGCCGAGGAAGAGCGCGCCGGAGCTGCATCCGCTGGCGACCATGCACCACGAGGCGCAGTTCACCTCCAGGGAGACCCTCAAGGTCTGATCGTTTTCAAAATCATCAGCTCGATGGGAGCTTGCGTCCACGGTAATCTTATTATATTTATATAATAAGATTACTGATCTTTATATATTTTTTCCTTGTGTTTGTGAGTCTTCGGTCTTCGGGGTTAAACACTTTAAACACTAAACACGGGGTTAAACACTAAAAATGTTTTCCTTGAGGCATCGTCTTACTGTAATTTGGCCAGGTTACTAAGGACATTTTTGCAACGCACTCCGACTCAGTGCCGAATTCAGAGCAATGCAATCTTTTGTATTTTGGCTAATATTTTTGAACAGATCGAAAAAAATGGCTCCATGTTCAGTCCTTTCTTTTAAATTGCAACTTTTTTTTTCAAGAAACCGAATTTTATGAGAACTTTAAATTGGCAATTACATTCTCTGTAAAATATTTTTTTATCATGCTAATAGCTATGATTACTCTTTAAAATGTTTCATAATAATGTTGACTGCAGATTGCTCGATTTGAGGAGTTGGAATCAGCAGAAAGAAGCAAATTATTATTTGCTTTCGGTTCTTCTTGCATTTTTGCGAGACCGGATGGAATTGCCAAAATGTTCCTTTCAAGTAATTTCAAATGTCTCCATTTTTAAATTATGGACATTCGACGAAAATTTATTTGCAAAAACCGACGATGGGAAAATTTTTTTTGCCGCTTTGCAGCTGGACGAATGCGCGCCGTTGCGGACGGGAACCGGCACCGGCCGACCCAAGTCCTCCTACCACCGGCGACCTCCCGCCTTCGCCGGCGACGGACGGCGACCCCCCGCCTTCGACGACGACGGGGAATCCCCCGAGCCGGATTCCGAGGATTCCCTCCCCAACACCCGGCACACCCCGCCCGCTGCTCCTCGTCCGCGAGATCGCAAAAGGTCTTTCAGTTAAATAAATAAATAAGCAAAAATCACATTAAATATAGAAATTTATATAAAACCTTTGCACAAAGAAATTTATATAAAAAATTTCTGCATATAGAAATTTCCTCACTCAACGAGAGACAAACATGTCCAATATCGTCTTTTCGCACATCTCGGGCAACCGGCACTTTTTTTTCCCCCAGGGAATCGCCCGGCCGACCTGTCAGTTACCAACAGCACCACTATCCCCGGAAGGCCAGGTCGAGGAGGAGCGCGGACCCGGTGGGCCCGGTGGGCCCTGTGGGCCCCGTGGACTCGGTCGACGCCGCGGACACCGTCGACCGCATCAAGGCTCAAATCAACGCTTCCTCCCGTCATCAAGGAACTCTCACCACCAACGAATTCACGATCTCGGTGTGATTTCTCACTGTTGGACTCGCTTTGTGGAATACATATAGGAACTTTGAACACGAATCGATCCGGAGTTCAAAGGGAAATTTAAAGGGAAATTTAAAGGGAAGTTTAAAGGGAAATTTAAAGGGAAGTTTAAAGGGAAGTTTGGATGTCGGTGAAGCTGAGGAGTTGGACGCCGGAGCTATAGCCGCTTTCGTAGCCTTTCGCCACGGGGACGTGCGTCTTCTGGATCTGGCCGCGGTGCGAGTTGAAGCTGGTGTCGAGGGAACTCTCTTCCGTGTCGGAGGACGTGGTCGTCGGGGATTCCGAGAACGTTTTTGGGTCGGGGGTCAACAGGCGGCTTCTTCGTAAAAAATAGTCCCGTTCCCCGTGGGACACGAAATAGGACTGGCAGCGGGAGTGAGGGTGAGCGTGAGAGCGAGCGTGAGCGTGAGCTTGAGCTTCGGCACGGGCCTTGAGTCGGAGTTCCCGGTCGATCTGGCGTTCCAGGGTGCTCAGGTTCGCGTCCGAATAGGAACGACGCGGCAGGTCGTGATGCGGATTCCGATCCGAAGAATGCGACGACGCGGAACGGCGTTCCTTCGTCGAGGCACTTCGGGTTAGATTTGTGATGGAGCCGGCGCTGCTCCCAGGATTCGACACGTACCTGGTCCAGGAAGAATTTATAATCATTTTAAATATAATATTTATCAATTTAAAATAAATCATATTAATTTAATTTTTTAAGTATTTTAATAAGTAGCCTAATATATATTAATACAAATAATTTTTATTCGTTCAAAATCATGTCTTTTTTTTAAGAAATTAAATTAATTTAGGAATTGTTTATAATAATTTAAAATCATAATTTGTGTTCTAGAAATGGGAAAAAAAAAATAAAAAGAGTCGATCGGTACCTGAAGCTGGTTCTTCTGGTGCTGTTCAGTCGCGGGTTTTTCGTGAAGAGCCGGGGTCGGTGTCCCGGTTCGTCGTCGTCCTTCGTCATCCCTTTCTCATCCCCGGGATGTTGTCGATCCCGACCTCGATCCCGGTCCGGCGACCCCGATCCCCCCTTCTTCCTCAGAGTGAATTCCGGCCAGTCCTCGGGGACTCGTTCCTGATCGCGACACGCGTTCCAAATGAGATTCCGGATCGGACGCGACGAGCCTTAACCGGTTTTACCTTGTGCCGGGGCGACGAGGGACTCGGGGAGCCGAGTCGCTGCTCCCTCAGGGTCTCGTCGAGGAACGAGTCCTTCACGTCCTTCTTCGGCTTGCCCAGGGCCGTCATGGTCGGGATGTACATGAGGGAGTGGTATGCGCTGTACCAGGAAGTCACCAGCAGGACCTGGAACGGGGAGCGAGTCCTGTTGTTCGGTCCTGTCGTCGAGGAAAACCAGAGAAATTCCCAGTTTTCCTCATTTCGGGGAATTACTCGGTTCAAATTCTCCATTTTTCATCGGAGGTGTCTCCAGCCACCTCCACGATGGAGGTGCGCTATCGCATGTCCCTTCTTAATTCTGAAAATATTTTACACTGCTTAGTTCCAAAGAAAGGACGGAGCACAAGCTCCTGTTTTTGTGGTCACACTCCAACTCGAAACTACTGGAAATCTAAAATACGCAAACGAGATTCGAGTCAGACGAGCCTCTGTGCATGGAAAGCCTGAAATTATCACTTCGTTTCGAGCTTTTGCTTCAAAATTTTCACATTCGAAAATTCCAATCCACGAGTTGAATTACTTTCCGACCCCGACGCGAAGAATGAAGAATTTTATATCGACACGAAGACTGAAGAATCACGAAGAATTTTAACTATGAGAAAGTTTTTAAGAAAAATGATTTTCTCTCGGGAGGGAATTCGATTCGGAATTCTCGGGAATTCTCGGGAATTCGGGAATTCGATTTGGAATTCTCGGGAATTCTCGGGAATTCGATTTGGAATTCTCGGGAATTCGCTCGATCCGCCCGCCAGCACGGGAGAGAGCGCGCACCTGCGCGACTTGCGTGAAGAGGAGACTCGGATTCCAGAGGATCACGGACAGCGAGGCCGCTGTGATGCAGACCGTCGAGTGGAACACCGGCGGACCCACGTAGCTCAGAGACACGCTAAAACTCGAGAAATCTGGAACGGCAGGGGAAACGTCCATTTGGCAAATACGTAAACCGAGGGAAACTTTACAAAAATCGGAAAACATCGAGATCCCCACGAAATACATAGAAAACAGCGAAATCGACTGCAAAGCAGGCTATATAACAAATAAACAAATA